CCCCAATAAAATGATTTTTTAAAAATTAAATACATAGTTTTGAAAACAATTCCAGGTTCTTTTGGGTTATTAAGTGCCATCAGGTCAGTCCCTATTCATAGCCTTGATCCTGCACTATCTTTGCAATTATTACCATGTTTGAGCCCACTGTTGCAGTTGTAGTGGCAATTTATCTCCTTAGAAGTCTTCCTCCAGTGCGAACCTTGGTTTTCTAACTTCAGGTCTTTGCACATTTTATTAAACTTTATCTTCTTGAGCTACCACTTGAAATACTTTGCTTATCCCTTTTACTTTATTATCTATTCCACTAAATTTTTTTATCTAGTTTGAGTGTTTTCTTGTGATTTGGGTGGATATTTATGAAATATAGTTGTTACACATTCACCACAATTTTTTATACACATTTTGTTTCATGACATTGATTGCAAACCTCTCATTTTTAGTAGCACTCTTCCTACCTCCTCCTTGGATTCCCTGCTTCTATTCATCCCCCATCTAACCCTTTCGTACCCTCTTTGGGGCAAATACCACCCTCCTGGTTTCATTGATTGTTCTGGAAAGCATGTTCCTCTTGAGTGTAGCTGTTAACACTAAAGATCTGTCTGTTGCTTGGCTGACATGGAGTCTCTGGGGGAATCCACTAGCCTTTATCAGACCAGTAAAATTGACCTTATTTCTGGTTTAAAATCGTGTTCTACATTTTCTCTCACTCTGTCCAGGGCCTTGCATTCCCATCAGAAAGGTCACTCTCTGGTCCCATGGTCTCTGGTTCACAGAGGCTGTGGTTTCAGTGATCCACTGGACTAAATGTTTCCTTGACTTTGGATTTCCGTCACTCCTTTCTGCCCTAGACAGACCTTCCATTTCCTTTAGATAGTCTACAGTTAAAGACAAGCTTCAGTATTTCTTCATATCTCCTTCGATCTCTTTTTCCTTTCCTGTTTTTTTAAAAATCATTTTATTGGGGGCTCGTGCAACTCTTATCACAATCCATACATACATCCATTGTGTCAAGCACATTTGTATATATGTTGTCATCATCATTCTCAAAACATTTGCTTTTTACTTGAGCCCTTAATATCAGCTCCTTATTTTCTCCCTCCCCACTACCCCATGAACCCTTCATAATTCATAAATTATTATTATTTTGTCACATATTATACTGTCTGGTGTCTCCCTTCACCCACTTTTCTGTTGTCCATCCCCCAGGGAGGAAGTTATATGTAGATCCTTGTAAACGGTTCCCCCTTTCTACTCCACTTTCCCTCCACCCTCCAGGTATCGCCACTCTCACCACTGGTCCTGAAGGGGTCATCTGTCCTGGATTCCCTGTGTTTCCAGTTCCTATCTGTACCAATGTACATCCTCTGGTCTAGCCGGATTTGTAAGGCAGAATTGGGATCATGATAGTGGGGCAGGGGGGTCGCAGGCGGGAGGAAGCATTTAGGAACTAGACAAAAGTTGTATGCTTCATCGTTGTTCCTGTCTTTTTAACAACCTTTTATTTTGTTCATTTATGATATCCCGATGTCACCTCACAACTTCTCTGGTCTTCAGTCATTAGTGTTCAATATATCAAATTTGTTTTTAAGATGGTCGCTAAAGCCGGGCGGATATAAAAAAGGCCCCTGGCCTTGCTCTGACTCATGAGATTAAATTTCCCTAACATCTCTTCCAAAAGATGTCAATTTGATTTCTGTATATTCCATCCAGCTAGGTCCACATTACAGACGCTATGTATATTGTTGAAGGGAAACAAAGTATCACCAACTAATAGATCATAGGTCTTACAAAATTCGGCCATGCTATCTCCAGCATCGTTTCTATAAAGTAGGTCATCCTTTCCACCTACTGATCTTTATTTCCAACTCTTGCCTTCTAATTTCTAAATAGTACCCACGCATCTTGATTGCATGTTTGAGCAATATTAGAGAGCAGAAGTTGGTAAAAACTTCAACTTAATCCTCTTTGGCATTGGTGGTTTTGTGTAAATTTGAATGATAGTCATGTTAATTGGTCTTCCTTGTACACAGATGAATATTATCCTATCGCTGACAGTGTTTTATTTTAGGACAGATCGTGAATATACTTTCTAGTAATGGATGTGATGCTGTTTGTCTTCAATTTGTCATTCCTCACATAGTAAGCCAGGAGTCCAGGTGGTGTGGTGATTAGCAGTTCAAAATCACCAGCCACTCCTGGGCTTTCTACTCCAGTAACAAGTTACTATCTCAGAAACTCACAGGGCAGTTGGCCCTCTCCTATAGGGTCACCGTGAGTCTGCATTGGCTTGATGGCAGTGAGTTGTTTTTGTTTGGTATAGTAGACCACATGCTTGATTCAAAATGACCTTGTGTGGTAGTTACATAATTTCATGTCAACTTGGCCTTTCAAATAGGTTACAGCCTGGCGATGCCTTCTTGTGGACTTGACCTTCTCATGAGCATTCTGGAAACCTCCTCTCTCTCTCTCTGCCTTCGTCTTCCTGTTGATAAGCCACGCAGAGACTTGCTGAGATGTGCAAGAGCCCCTCTGGCTGCTTTACCTTCCTATTGACAAGACACATTGAGCCACGGGAGACTCGTGCCAGCCCTGTGATGCTTCCACCACCATTGGATTCACAAGACTTTCCCCCACTGGACTGCGATCTTCTTGCATTCTGCATCATTGCATGTGGTTGCGTGAGTCTAAACAGAGATTTATGAACTAGTATTGGACTTATGGACTAAGATCAGACTTATGGACTTGATCTGGATTGGGCTGGGATGTTTTCTTGATATACAATTACCCTTTGATATAAAGCTCTTTCTCACACATATATGAATGTCTCCAGATTTGTTTCTCTAATCAACCTGGCCTAACATACCCTGATATCAGACCATTTCAGATCACTCATTTCCTGAGACATAGATTTTCAAGTGTTCTATTTAATTTTTGACCACTTCTGGCAAGATGGCTGTAGTACAGTGAATCATTTATGGCTCTTCTACCTGTAGTTAGTCTTTGTTACTTCCACTAACTTCATTTTACCTGATGGGTCTGGGTAAGAAGTTAAGGAAAGATACTGATTGTATTATATGGGTCCGCTGTGAGTGCCTGCCATACTGCTGAGCATAAAGTGAGCCATCTCAGAAGAAAGGAAAAGGGTCTCCCTGCCAGCTAGAAAGGGGAGCCAGGAGTGGAGAGTATGTTTTGGACCCTGCATCTGGTTTGCCGCTCTTTGCCTGGCCTCTGGTTCTTAGAACTTCAGTTTCAGTCTAACATCTGACCTAATTTCGCCCACAGCCTTGTGGATGTGGGGGATCCTCCAGAGGAACATCTGACCTTTGGATTTGGGACTTACAAGCACCCCACTGCCATGTGAGCTATTTGACTTCATGCCGTGAGCTCTTTGTGATCACTGCAGTGAACTGGGACTTAAGGGAATGTACTCAGGGGAGGAGTGGTGTTGCTCTCGGGGATAACGGCGCAGTATCACATTTTTGAAAAGTGAGACATTTGGGATACAGCTAAGCTCCACCTTCTTGGGACTAGTCTTATATTAATTTTTTAAGACATTTCTGCAATGGAGGGCTAGGCAGATGCACTAAACAGATCTTACAAAAAGAGATCCCAGAGGAAATATAAAGGGATGAGAATCCCAGAACTCTGACTTCAGAGGAAAGGGTAGAGATGTGAATTGAATACCAACAAGAAGAAGCAGAGCCAAAGCAACCAGACAGGAGCAGCCCAGTGAGTGCTCAGCTGACCTAAAGCAGCACAACCGGAGTCAGTTCCGCTTGCACAGGAATCGCGTGAGCACCTGTACCAGTGGCCGACAAAGAGAAAGTGGAAGAACCCTCTGTTCTCTACACCCTCCTGGTGGCCAGACAAGTGGTCAGTTCCTAGCCTCACCCACCCATCCCCTGCACAACCTGAACTCTGAGGCTGGAGGCATGCTCCGTGAGTAGCTCTTGGTGACCCCTCCCATACCTGAAGGTGCGTGAGCGCAGCCTCAGGAGAACAGCAGCAAGTGCAATGCTGGACAAGCAGCCTGCTAGCAGCCTGTCACTGCTGGTGCACAAAGACTCCTTTCATTGCCAACTTGTCCCTAGCTGCCATTGGAGCTCAAAAGAGTTCCTTGCAGAGAACGAGTGACCCCAGTCACTACCTGAACCTACATGAACTACTTCTGGATCAGGTCCTACGTTCAAAGACTAGCCAGGCTGGCCAAATTCACCCAAGATAGCTTCCCCCACCATATTGCTAGGCCCTGAGAGCTGCTTTTTTGCCTAGTGATAACACATACTGGGTACCTCAGCCAGCCAGTGTCCTCCCCTCTGGATCCTGTCACTGGCTGAATCTTCTCCTTCCTTTGTTTTCTTTTCCTTCCCTTATAGTTTATGCTTTCTCTGCCTTCTTTTTTTTTCTCTTGTTTTTCCTTTTCTTTCCTTTCTCTTTCTCTTTTCTCCCCCCTGCCTCTTTCCTTTTGCCATTGGCCCCTCCTTAACTTTGCTCTTGCTGATAAAAATTTAAAACATTTCAACTTTCAGTATAGACTGCAACTCAATGTAAGGAAAGCCAAAATCCCCGCAACTGGTCCAATAGATAGCAGAGAAAAGATGGACGTTGTCAAGGATTTTGTTTCGCTGGGTACCACAGTCAGTGTTCATGGAAGCAGAAGTCAAGGAATCAAATCGAATCATTCAGCAACTCGATGGAACGAAACCTCTTTAAAGTGCTGAAGACCAAGGACATCACTTGAGGACTAAGGGTCACCTGACACAAGCCACGATATAGATATACAGATATACATTGCAAAGGAAGTTTAGTTTAGTAAACAAAATACTGGCTCTTTGAAAGCATTCCCCCAAAATTACATGATTTTAAGCTAAAAATGTTAGGAGTTGACCTGCCCCGTCATTCACTAATTACGTCTTCTTTCTTCTCAGCTGGGGCCCACCAGAGTTGGCACTTACACTGCAGAATCTTGGGCTTCCCCGTCCGTTTTCTTTCTTTGCCTACTGCTTTTTCTTTTCAGCCTCCAGTCTTTGTCGTTTTGCTTCCAATCTTCTCCTTAATGCCAGGCAGAGGATCAGCGGTTTTGCTGCCAAGCTAGGCAGTGCGGGCACATGATCAAGGACCTGGCAGTTCATGCTGGAGCAGTTGTGATTCATGCCTGCCTGGGGCAGACCTCTCAGGTGAGTACATCAGGAGGGAGATGGCTGGGAGGCCAGGTCTCCTGCTGATTCCCAGGAGCAGAAGTTCTGCAAGCCATGGTATTTGCTATCACCTCATACACATGTGGAAAATGGACATTGAATAAAAAAGACTGAAGACGAATTGGTGTATTTGAATTATGGTGCTGGTAAAGATGAATAAGAGTACCACAAACTGTCAGAAAGAACAAACATATTTGTCTCAGAAGATATATAGCCAGAATGCTCCTTAGAAAAAAATGAGGAGCTGATACCAAGGGCTCAAGTAGAAAGAAACTATTTTGAAAATAATGATGGCAACAAATGTACCAATGTGCTTGAGACAATGGATGTGTGTATGAATTGTGATAAGAGTTGTATGAGCCCCCAAGAAAATGATTTTAAAAACAGAAGCAGCAACAGCAAAGGTGGCAAGACCTGTCCCCCACATAGTTGAACATTACCAGGTGAGCTCAGTTCCGGGAAAAGGAAGCCATGCTTGCCGAGAAGCAGAGAGTCGGCAGAAGAGAGGAAGCCCTGCAACACAACGGGCTTGGTGCAGTGGCTGCAACAATGAGCTCGAGTATAATAATAAGGATGAGGATGACGCTGAGCGCGCAGTGTTTTGTTCTATTGTTCTTCGGGTCAGTATTAGTCAGAATCAACGCAATGCTACCTAATAACAGCTTTGCGTATTGTATTTTTCTTTCTTTAGCTCTACCCTGTTTCTCTCCTTTTTTCCCTTTATCATTATTAAATGTTCTCTCTTGCTGTTATTTTCCCACTTGACCCTGCTTATTTTAACTTTTAAAATATTTCCTTGTTGTTGTTTGGTTGGTTAGTGGTTATTTTTCCTCTTTTTAAAATTTCCTCACTGCCCCAAACAATTGGAGACAGCAACCGTGCCCACAGATACAAATCCACCACCACCACCACAGTGCCTCAGAGACAACAGAACATTTCAGCTCACGTGAAGAAACAAGAAGAGTAGTGGAAACACGTGACCAATGCACAGTGCCAGAAAACCTTTTTGGGGGAGAAAAGGCATCAGAATTACTTAGTGAGGACTTCAGAAGAATGTTATTTAGGTACTTTCAATGGATTGTGAGATAAGGTGAGAAAACTGCAAAGGAAATTAAAGAAAGCACACACCAAAAACCTTTAGAAGAATTGCTTTACACAACAGGAAGGCTCCCTGCAATCCTTATCATCTTTAAGGTAGCAAGAGTCAAAGTCAGCGGTGGTACTCCTGCCCTGTTTTAAAAGACACACTACAGTGTAGCTGGGAACAGCCCCCAGTGTCAGCATTAGCTACGTAATCTATTACAGCCAGTGAGTGATCCTCAAGACGTCAAAGTAAAAGCTAGCCCTATTCAATGAATTTTGTAATTACATAAAATGTGAAGTACTCAGTAAGTCAAATTTACTATTAAATACTTTTCCTCTTCTT